AAGTCTTCTTCTGTTTGAAGTCCTCCACTATTCTTTTGAAAATGGTTATTCAAGCGCGCCAAATGTCTAAATGTGAGCAGTTTCCTTTCCCCTCTCTCTCTCTCTCTCTCTCTCTCTTTCTCTCTCTCTGTCTGTGTTCTCTCTTGATAATGACGAGCGCAGAGCCGTTTGACCCCGGCGCGATAGACGGCTTAGCTCCTTGAACTCTGCGGGGCGACACGCGCCGGTCCCGTGACCCCCCCCCCCCCCGAAACACGCCGGCCACCTGATTTCCCAGGAGCCCCCCAACAAAGACTCATTGGATGACCTTTCAACTGATCCGCAACTCGTCCGCTGCTACATTTAAATCCTCCCCACCTTCCTCTGTCTCCTCTTAGGAAAATACGCCTGGTGTGGGCGTTGAGACCAAAAAACATTGGGTGTTAGCGCTGCCAGAAAAGTTGATACCAGAAGTTAAGTTCCTGCTGCGCTGGGAACGACGACTGATTGGACTGATTTTATCCTAAGCCATCTTTGCATCATTGCAAATGCACTTATGCTCATGGTGGCCGGTCATTATGGACAAGTGCACTGTAAAAGAGTTGTTTTCCGTAGTTGTGGTTGTTTTGCAGGGAATGGGTTGAACACTAAAAGCAATTACTGGATGTTGACAATGTTCTTCCTGGGGACCTACATTTTAAAAACTTGAACGCATCAGACTGATAGCGAGCTGTGCTGCAGGATGTATTCAAGCCAATTGAGAGAGATTAAAATGGGGCAATGCATTAGGTGCTCGATGCTTGAAAAGATTTGCGTTATTTGTTTGATTGCTTGCTTGCTTCCCATTTAAAGTCCGTTTTTGCCCATGAAAATGTGAAATTACATTTCACATTATTCTATCCTTTGTCGTCGACAATGGAATAAAGTTACTGCCTCTAATTATCTTCCTGAGGTTTACAATATGCCGTTATTGTTTCACTTTCCTTTTTGAAAACAATGAAAAAAGACTGTCACTGCGCTTTACTCTACGCTTTACGTTTATGCTGCTCTTGCATTGAATCTGAGCACAATGAATAACCAAAACGACCAATGGGCTGTAGAATGCATGACCCCGGTCACGTCTTTCTGGGCTATTATCAAATGACACGTTAATCAACACGTTTGTATCATTGTATCACGTTATCAACGCGTAGCATGCAGATTTGACTCTGTGGAAGACAACATCTGTTATTACTCATGACCTCCAGTCAGGACTGTCTTTTAATTTGCGTAATATTTCAATTGGCAAGCATGGAGTAGGGCAGCAAGGCAGCGAGGCCAAAGAGCTTGAGTTTAATGAGTACTAAAAGAGACTCATTAAACTGGGGAAAATGATCAGTGTTTTAACTACAAAAGGTGCAACAGTAACTGTTTTAACACAGTAGCTAAACATCTTGGGTAAATGCTAATTGGTTCTCTTGCAATTAGATGGGAAGATTAAGTATAGAGCTCGGAACCAAAGGGTGTTATCTCAGATTAGAAGAAAGAAAAAAAAAGTCCCTGCTGCTTGGCCAAAAAAATAATGTGGCATAACTCCTTATGACACCACAAATAGTTGTTTTTACAGATTAACCAATTTAGATAAAGCTCATAAGTGAGCTTTTGAGGGGCTGTTAGCTGGATGTGTTCATTTTGAAAAGAGCAGGGCGGCTGTTTCCTACTGCTTTCAGTCAAAGTGGTGAGCTACGCTAACCGCTTGGTTCCAGCTCCCTCCATGAAAAACACAAATGATTGGAAATGAACAAACTCTTCCATCACGATGTAGGTTGTTTTACCCACCGACTAGGTTTACCCGCCTGCACTCAAAATAGACAAAATTGTGACCATAGTTTCATTTAACAGGGTTCGACTGGTTCAATCGTATGTAATACTTGTCTCGGCAAGAGTTTCTGTCTAGAAAATTGCTGTATGAAATGCAAAGTTTGGGAATATGTAAATAGTTAAAAGATACCCTGAACTTAAATATCAATAGTTAAAGCAACAGCGGTACCAAGAGGATCCTCGGCAACCACACCCGAAAACACACTTCAAACCGAGGCCTCTGCCACACCACGGGCCTCAACACATCATTATTCACCATCACTGTGTGTTAATGTGTGAACACATTGATACCGCTGCAAATGAACGTGACAGGCCGCCGACAAAGGGAGATCTATGTTTTGTTTACATGCGCGTGATGTTTCTTCCTGGAGCAAAGAGTCGAGTCACCGCTGCGTTAAATAAGCTCGTACAAACACCGGGCCGGCATCAAACCCCACGCGCGCGTGCTTCTGCAAAATCACCGATACGCGTACCAGTGTATATATTTGTCTTTTCAGGCGCATTTAATAAACCTTTGTTTGCTGTCTCGTTATTGGGCCCTGCCTCGGGAAATGGGGGTTGGGGGGCATTATGAAGACGGACGACGCTGTCACAGCGGGATGGTGTTTGTCGCAACGCAAGCATTTTCTTCTACTCCATTATCATTATCGCGGCTGATGTTATTGTTACAACAGCCATTCCAGGAAGCGGTTGAAGCTGCTGAGACCAAAAGGCAGGAAAGCCAAATGGAAAAACCGAGACGTTGCAATTCAAGGAGTGAATACGAGTTGTATAATATCTACATTTACAGATAATTGGGAGCATACAGTATGACTGCCGCGCCTTAGGAAATCTGTGTGTGGCAATAATAGAAGAGCGAGCAGCTAGAAAAAGGAAGTGTTCCCGCCAGGATTTATTGTTTATTAGGAACATTTGTAAAGCTAACGGCCCACCAGCCAACTATGCTGCAAAACCAACCGTGAAGGAAGGTTAGCGTCGAGGGAACAACCGTAGCTCTTACGAGCCTTGACACAAACGTGCGCGCCGGCCAAGAGTCGTAATTTTTTAAAAACAGGAGCGACCGCACCCATTCGGAACTAAACCCGAATCAGCTACGTGTAGCAGCGAGCTACGGCGACGGGCCACACATGTTAATGCTGCTGCCCCGCTCCCTTCTCCCGTGGTCGTCCTTTAGAATGCCGGAGCAGGTGTGATAAATGCTGCCGTTTAAATCAAAGTGCCCCCCTCGCCACCCCCAACCCCCCCTCCCCTCTGGGGAGAGCGAGGATGCCTCCATGCAGATTGATATCAGGAGGCTCAGCTATATCCTGCAGGCGCTGACTGATGGTCTGTCTGGATAAAAAATGAACTTTATTCCCGGCGTGCGAGCCATGATTCATGGACCCCCCCCCCTCCTCCCCTAAAACCATTCCACATATACCGCCACTGCACTCTATGGAAACAGTGTAGTACATCATACAGTGCTGCAACACTCACCCACACCCAGAAAATACCAATGAGGGGTTTTCGTCTGAATGTGATCAAACAGAAACTAGCCTTATTTTCCAGTTATCGCGTTGAAGTGAAGGCAAAAAAAAATAAAAAATCGCTCTCATTCGGTCCTATCCAAAACATATTTAGAGTTTATATACATGAAACGATTCCCTCAAGGTCCGTTTGGCAAACAGAGGGAGCGATTCACACGAGAGTTTGACCACTGGGTTCCGTTTTGGTCCTTCTGCCCTTCCATACCATCGTGAGTGACAGGCAGGATGAAGCGCTGGGGTCACATTACTCACAGCTAGCATTCTGTTCCTCCTCTTTCCTGCGCTAGAAACGTGGTGAAACATTGCACTTTCCGCTCCAAAAGTGAGTGGGTAGTGTGGGAGGTGGCGAAGCACAAAAAGAAAAGAAGGAAAAAAAAAAAAAAAAAAACAGCCTTGGGTTAGCTTCAAATTAATTTGTCATCTGAAAGCAAAACTTACATGTGCAGAAAGGGATAATTGCCAATCAACTATATTTAAGGTCTCACTTCAATTGCCAAAAGAAGACAAGTACAGCGTAATGGCATCACTTCTGAAAGAACAAATGTTTTGACACGTAGCACATTTGTGCCTTTAATGTTGTCTGTTTGCCAGACGAGTATGAGCCCGCTACAACAAAAACATCATTGCAATTAAGTCCTCCTCTTCCGGGAGGAGTTGCATTGATTCATAAAAGCTTTTGTTCGAGAGAGGTTTCAACGTCGACGGTTCCTATAATTGAAACCTATAAAAGTGTCGGATCAATGTTGGTAAAGGCTAATAAGAGAGTGGAGAAATGACAGCGAGGTGACGTCCCATAATTATCACCTCTAGACTAAAATTCATGTCATTTTTTTTTAAAGGCATCTACTTTTTTCTTCATCCGTTCGACAGCGATGATACAAATGTCACGTACCAGGAATAACCTTTAGTTAAACGTCCCTAATCTGAATATTAACACGCTTGTGTATGATACAATCATATACAATAACATCTTGTGACGCCGCAAAATATGTTTCTGTGGGGACAGAGGTGCATTTCTCTTTGATACACAGCCAACGTGGAGCATTCAACGCCGCCCACCCCAGGGGGATTGTAGAAGGCCAGAGTATAATCCTTCAGATGAAATTGAAACCCTTCGAGGCCGAGGAAATAAAAGCGCAGCAGTATATGAAACCTGCCCCCTGTTTGTCATTGATCAAAGGGTATTAAAACTATAATAGAGATCTGTTACCGATTGATTAAAGGTCACATGAAGCCTAACAGAGATTGAATAACAATTTCTTTTTTAAATCAATAGCGCAAATATTGGTTTTACAGTAACTCCCCGTGAGCTCTGCAACAATGATTAAAGGACTGCAGTGGTGGGACGTGTTTCAGCTCCTTTGGTGAAACGTAAAAATGCTGCCACGTGAATTTTTGTGAATAGAACAAAATGTAAATCCTAAATACATAAATCCCGTGTTAAAGACCAAGGAGGACTTAGATTCCTAAAGCTATTTTTGACACAACTGTTTGGCTATAGACTCTAAATGTCACAGCACACAAAGCCCTCCCAACGTTTGGATAAAGGCTCCCTCACATTAGGCGTTGCATTCACACACTGTGACCGGTGCCACTGTTTGGGATTCCAAAAGGAGAGGCGGCTGACGTACTCACCCCAATGAGACCTCCGTTCCCGCGGTGCTCTGTTGTGTGACTTGATTGAACGGGCACAGGGTATAAGTATACCTGCAGCGGGAGAAAGCACACGCAACATCCCCATTGAGCGAAATGGCACATTTCATCTTTTATACTTTTACAGCTTACTTCTTTGGCTCTTTTATGCTGCCTTAGACAAAAGACTAATAAAAAAGAACTTCCATCAGCGCCGCAAAGTGAAGACTTTTGATTATTACTTTTTGATTCATTTGCGTTCCCCACTGGATTGTTGCTATGGGTTCGTAAGTTGAAAAGTAGACTGGAAAATGCACAACAGAAATACCAACAACGTTTTAGGTCATTGAGAAATAAAGTTGCCATTATAAAAGGACAAAGGTAAAAAATATTATTTTGAAAATGTCATCATGTTAATTATTATTCAACCAGATATAATATAGATTTATCCCACAGCTGCTCTATGCTGTTAATAAACATTCAATCTACTACATTTATCATTGGTAGTGAGCAAATCTACAAAGAATCTGCCTCTAAATTCAAAAGAGCTGTGAAACATGTTTAGGGTTTGGGGTTTTTACGCATGTAACTTACATTTTTATTAATGAATCGTCAGCGCTATAATTTATGGTATTTCTTTATTGCTTTGGTAAACCCACTTTGTACGCTGAGAGTCATCCAATATTCTGTTTTTCCATTGATCCACTTGTAAAAAGCACCAATAAAACAAAAACACATTCCAGGTCAAAGCTAATCAGCAGGCAAACTATGGTGACTGCTCTTCTACTGGCGTAAAGTCTAAAGGAGTCAGCGCTTAGCGGAGGTCATCCCCAATGTGCTGATTAGAGAGTCGATCACTTGACCAACTGATCGAAGGCCTTAGTGATGATGGTGAACGAAACGGTGAAAAATGGCTGCAGCGTAAGTATGTGTGGGCTGGGAAGTGCGAGGGGGGGAGAAAGGGCGACAGAGGGAGGGGTGAGCAAACGGCTGGCGACTTCTTGCTCACTGTTTGTGGGTGTTAAAAGCTTCTTAATTTCACTGACGTATTTATTTACCGTTCCCGTCTACTGAAATCACACAAGAAGCATCCTTTTGGACTGCACAGTAAGCAGTTCAGCTTGGAGACAAATTAAATAGGTCTTACCATGACTAAGCCTATAGAGGATCCAACCCCCCCCACAGCGCAGCAAGGTTCCTGAGATGTTGTTTTAAGTTATCATTTATACATCCAACAACCATGTTTGCAGCAAAGTCCATCTCCAGATTGTAATATTTAGATTTTGATAACAAACCCTATTGACTTTGGAGACTCCTGAATGTTTCCTGTAGCATAAAACCATGAATGATATCTTCTCCAGTGAAACATTGTGCCATCACCTTGATGAATTGGTGAACACAGCGCGTCACGTAAAGAAAGAGAAACGTATATCTGTGTAATTCAGTTTCCAATTTGGGTGACTGTCGCTGACGCTATTGTGTGTCCATGGGATGGTGGCTGGAAGCACCGACCTTAATATTAAATATGAAACTTGAGATTCATTCTTACCTAAATACTCATTTTGTGATTTATTAATCATTCTATTGATGTCAATGATTTAGTTAAACACCAGCTAGACATGCCGCTACGCCCATCCCAGGACCCTCTGTCTTACCCTCAAGGCAAAGCCATCAATCCCTGCACACTTTTGCTGACACGCCAGTGAGCACTTTCACAAACGCACAAAAAAAAAAAAAAAAAAAAACTCTGCTATTTCTGAGCGAGGGCGCTGCAATCTGACCTTGGGCGCTCGCCTCCACGTGGCTGCTTCTGAGAAAACAAAAGACGGAGAACGCGCCGCCTCGGTAGAAGATAAGTGGGGAGGAATCAGAAAAGCACAACACGTAAGCGGAGGTGCAGGTTGATAAGCGCTGCGTCTCCAGGACCACCAGGCCACATTCGGCACATCCGGCAAAACGGAAAGGATACGCGCGCAGAAAGGTCAAAAACGCGCGCATTTAGACTAACTGTGCCCAGCTATCCTCAGCGAATGAGCACAGAGCGACATGGAGGAGGAGGAAGGCTTCGCAGAGACGAGGCTGACAGCGCCTGAAAGACAAGGTTAAAATATAGCCAGGAGAACAAAGGCAGAAGAAAGAGGCAGGCAGAAAGACAAATAGATAACAAAAGTGTGCAAAAAGAGAGTGGGAAGGAATCAAGGGTGGTGACGCTTGTGCAAGTGAATCACCAACTCAACAGGTCGCAACTGTGATGGGTGATGACGTGCAGAACGGGGGACACTGGGCGGAGGAAACAAAAGGATCAAAAGATAAAGCTCACAATAAGTTGGGAGCGCCCGTGTCGGTCTTTGGCAGGCGCGCCGACACCCAAAACGCACGTTGTTGCGCAGGCTGCAGCCCCTCGATGCGTCCAATGTGAGCTACGGACAAACGGCAGCACACGAGTCCTTGCGTTTTCACATGTGTCATCGTTGAGAGAGTGAGGGACACATAGCTTGCTTGGACTTTGAAGGTATACTTTTAGTAGGTTGTTTTAGTTCCGAGATTGACAACAAAGCTACAAACTATGAGAAGCTGAACTGTACATGCGGTTGTATTCGTCAGTCCATCGCTAATTAGCTCTGACTGTCATCCAACTGCTATTCACAAGGTCACATCAAGACAAGTATATTTATCACTCAGTCCACTGAGATCCACTCAAGAGGGAGAGAGACGGCAATTAAGCCCTTCTCCCACTAGACTGTGGGTGGAGTTCACCGACGGCGCCGCAAAACGGCAACAGCAGCCGCACTCGTTAATTGGCTCACAGGTAACACTGGCGAAAGGTCAAAGGCGGCTCGGCGGCGCGGCGTGTCGTGGTTAATTGTTTCACAGCAGACTTAAAAGGAAAACCAACGCTGCTGCAGTCGACCTCGGCGCACACGTTTAGAAGTTGCATAAGTTCCAGTAACGGGTTGGACTTTCCCTCACTTATTGATTCATTCACACGACGAAAACTATCAACTCGTCTAGTGGGATCATGTGATCGGTGTGAGTGAGTGAGCGTCTCGTGTGCAGCTCTGCGTCTGTCCACAGCTAGACGATTCAGTATCAGACTGCAGTTACTTTCATTTCAGGAACGACTGTCTTGGGCATTTGCTTTTTAGAAATGCATCCAATACACAATCAACTACAGTCGGAGGGTAAAGAGAAAGTTGGGAGTCTTTGATTCTTGTCTGTGGTGGAGGAGTTCTGCACGGTTTGGTAATAGATTCAACTCACAAGCTCAATCATGGAATCCAATTCCAATACTGCAATAAATATTAGAAAAGTTACAATTATTTCCTGGAGTTTGAAAATAAATCAACATGACCATTGTGAGATTAGGTCAGTGCAATTCCTTTCACTTGGTAGTACAGAGGGGAGTTTGCCGGTAGCCCAAAGAGCCAATGCAGGCTTCAAAGCAGACACTCAGGGCCGGCCATTCTTACGTTTACCTTCATTTTCCACATGGAGGAGCACAGATGCAAGCAGCTTATTATATTTGGGCTTTGCATTTTTTCATGCAGAGCTGAGAGTGTGCAGAAGACATCCTCTGGGAAACAACCTGTTGGAATGCACAGCAGAGACCCTGTATTCCCATGTCAACTACTCAGGGAAATAATAGTAGTAACAGAGAGCTGCAGAGCCTTTTCAAAAAGATGGCTCGATTTATATTCAGAAAAAGCAAACAAAACAAGTACAACTTGAAGCGTATTTATCACTTTGGGCAATGAAATAGCTTCTGGCAAATCACTTAAATCGTTCTCCTAGTCATCTCTAAAGAACCTATTGCTATTGCTTCATGAGGTAGAGCTGAGGCTAATGGAAGACAGGATACAGGGTTAGGGATGGGTGTTTTAATTATTTCAAAAATGCACTCAGGGTCCTTTTCTACCTGCTAATCGGGTTTAATATACTTAATGAGAATCGCCTCTCAATTTATTTTTGTTAACAGGCATTGTGCCGTGGAGTGATTTAATGTTAATATTATTTTAGCTAATTACTTAATATTATTGATGCCAATTTTGATGCATTTTTGAGAACTGTACTTAATAAATGTTGATAATTCGTTGATTTGTCTTACATAATAATAATACACGCGATCAACACTGACATTGGATACAAGCGACAGAAGACGTTGAGTTTTGATCAAAGGTTTGATCAATTCATATAAGCCATCCCTTTTTGGTCTGAAGGTGATTCGATAACACCATTAAAACAACTTGCTTTTTTATCTCATAACCTTATATTTGAAAGGCTCATTTTCAAATGGAAAATAAAAATAAACATACTGCAATACAGCTGCACATGAAGACAAATTGCTGGCAAATCACATGTAGGTTATATTCTTTTTACCTTTGTGCCACTTGCCCCGGCTCTCTATGGGACTACTATGTTTTGAAGGGCTATATTCTCTTTTTCTAGCTGTGCAACAAGAAAAAATATAAAATCTAACTTGAGCTACTGCAGCAGTAACAAAGTAGGAAAAAAACCCCCAAAAACCTTTCAACCAATAAAGCTGATCAACTTGGCTCTAAAACCATCTCAAACCGAATTAGAAACAGCGAGTCCTGGTGTGCGCTGACAAGCTGGATAAACAATCTCTGAAAGTTTGACCCAGACTGTTTCAACACAAGCAGCCCACAGACTCCGCGCTCATGCCCGTCTCCTCTCTCGCGCTGTCAACTTGGCAGCAGAACAAAGACTGATGGAATGGGATGATTTCATGACCCCCGCCAGACGCGCGCGCGCGCTCGTTGCCAACGCACAGGTCTACTGAACCAACGGAGAGCTCCTGCTACGTCAGATGGCGGCCCCTGCTGTGGATTGGGCACACTCTCCACGGGCCCCCGGACTCCAACAGGAAAGGACCAGTGTCCCCGGCAGCTGACGAGGCCGAGTGGTTTGAGAGGAGGATAAAAGGCACTGTGCCCACACTCAGGAAAAGTGAGGAGGACCAGGTCTTCTTCAAACTTAGTTACGCCCTCAACCAGACGCACGCACGCACGCACGCGCACGCGCGCGCGCACACACACACACACACACACACACACACACACACACACACACACACACACACACACACACACACACACACACACACACACACACACACACACACACACACACCGCTGTGCGAACATATTGGCAACCATTATTTGCTGTATTGATACAGAAACTAACAAAGTAAATGTTCCTGGTTTTTCTAAATTAAAATACGATGTCGTGTGATTTTCATCAACACGACAGAATTAACATCTTAAAGCAGGTGAATGCAATCTCTTCAACGGACAAATGTCCAAACGAGACCCATTGAAGTCGATTCATTGAATGACCAGTTCAACAAGAGTAATCCTAATGGTTATGCTTTAATTTAGCGACAGTGTCTATGGCAATTGGGAGCTACCGGGTCCTCTGAGGCACCTGTACAAACATCTATTGTAGCGCGGCCACTTCGTTAGACAATTCCAATTAGGATTAACAAAACCCTCTGCCTTTCTGCCCCCTTGATAAACGCGGATTACATTTTTATTTGTGTGCATTCCTCTGTAACTATCCGTAGTCTGGTTCGCTTTCTGGCGTTTCATTAATTTTCTGATGGCAAAAGGCCTCTACGTCGGGGCATTATATGAAATGATTAAATATGGCTTCTGTTGAACGGCTCTCTTTGGGACATCCGGATGGCGTGCGTCTCAGAAGAAGCCCGCCTGGCGTTCCGCGGATACACTCTGCAGGGTCACTGGCGCCGCGACGTCCCCCCTCTCGTCTCTGTCGAAGCCGAACCACAGCGGCGGGCGTGTCTCACTGAACTGCCGTACTTTCTGATGACACGAGAGCGCCGGCAGAGTCGATCCGACCTGACAGTCTTGCATAAGTCGCGGCCCCGCGATTTAACTCGCTTTGAGGAGTGTCAACAAATTCGCGAGAGGAATATTCAGACTGTGCTGAAGGTAGGGACTACGCCTACGAGAGCTCCTTGTGGGCTGTCTTCCTGTGCTGAAATGTGAAGTAATGTAAAGTAGCTTCTCCTCTATCTCTTATTCATAGATCAATCAAGACTTTAGCAATCAAGGCGGTGGTGGGGGGCCGATTGTAAGATGCTTTCAGCAGATTATCAAGAAGCAAAGAGAAAGAGGCAAGTGATTATTTTCCATTTTTGGAGGGGAGCTGTAGCTCTGCTGGTTCGCCACTCGAGGCCATGGGAGGGAGTGTTATACAAAGCTGTTGGTTTATGTGTCCGTCAATGTCAGATCTTTTTAGGATCACAGTTCAAGGCAAACAGCAAGGATAAAGGGGGGCGGGTGACTGGTACATTGCTGAGAGGGTGCTGGTAGGTTCGACTGAGTTCATGCTGGTGCAAATGGTGCTCTTCGGTTTCTTCAAGGATGCCTATTGGATGATTTTGCCTCCTAAATGGCAACCTAAGCAAACAAGTGAAACCGGTGTCACGGGAAACCCACCGATTCCAAGAATGTCGGGAAAAATGAATTCTCGGTGCAGATCTCAGATTCATTTCTTTCAAAACTGCAACCACCCACAGGCTTCTAAAAGCTCCAGCTGGCAAGTAATCCTGAGGAGAACAGATTCTTCCCCAGCAGGCACCATAGGGATGCAGCAGGAGAGAGTAAAAGAAGCTCATTCTGTTGATTAAATTAAGTTGATTTAGCTGCTTAGCTTTCTCCTGGGTGACTTGGAGCTCACAAACTATCAACTTTAAATGGTAGCTACCGAAATGCTTGGTGTTGGTTTCGGATTATATTCACAGTTTAAATGAAAATAATAAGCAGCCCCTGGTTAAATGATTGATTCTGCAATGATTCTTCATAGCGTTTTATTATGTATTATTATAAGGTTCATGAGAAGCTTGGTCAGTGCAAGACTAGATTCACAGCAAAGGTTGATCAAAAGAAGCAGATGAATCAAAAAAGCAAACTGCTACTTACTCATATACTTTTAGCTTGTAACACTGGCTGTTCAGAAACAGAAACTCCCAATCTGGTCCGTAGTCAATAGCCAGCTTTTCCCGGAGATCACTAAGAAAAACAAAAAGAAACGTATTAGACAACTAGCAAACTAAAAGCTGCATTTAAATATAAGGGCACTCTAAAACCGGCCGCTAAGGTTTTCCGGGAATTAACTCCAGGTACAGCTTTAAAAAGAAGTTATATAATAGTTTAAGTACAACGTGTGCAGCACAGAAAAAAGTCCCCCCTTTCAGACGGAGACAAACGCTTATTGGATGTGGGTCATTTGTTCCGAGTCCCTGACAAGCCGCTCCAATAACTTCTTGATGACTCCTAACTGTGCTGACAATGTAGCTTCATTTTCCCCGCTGCTCTTACTGTCTGACTTCCTGAATAGTGTGTTGATTAGGTGGCCCTTTAAAGCCCGTTTCTATGCCGCGGCTCCAATTATCCGCGCTGGCGAGGGCTGCTTTTCTCCACTAATCGCTAACAAGGGAACTAAGCCCTATCTCAAACGGCACACGGGCCCTTATTTCCATATTCATAACACAGAATTGCTAATGGGGTTAACAAATGTTTGGGGCGAGTGATTGTTTCGCTCAGGGTCGATAGTGTCGGGTGGCGTAAGGGGATAACTCGGGGTCACCAAGGCACCACAGGCCACGCGAATGTGTGTGCACGCGAGTGTCTGTCAGGCAGGGGTCGTAGCGTTCATGCACCAGGTCAAGTTTTGTGGAAATTACCCTTTAGAGCACACTCAAGGAATAAAAAGGTTTAAAGGACAGACCTTAATCTCGTGTTAATTGTACGACTGCACTAGCGCTGCACACGGGGGATCCTCTCCAACGCGCCACACATGTGAGGAAGTGACCAGGAGCAATCGGAGCAACGTGGACTAAGAACTAGAGGAACGGAGGTCATGCCAGCTCATTTTCCCTTCCCCCTCCCCTCCATGCAGGCGTTTGTTTAGTGGGGGGGGGGATCCTGACCTTTTGGTAACAGCCATCTCTCATCTCTGTGGCTGACTCTCCTCTCCGCCTACTGTAATGAACAGTTTGCAGGCCTGGGGGCCACGTTAGCTACTTATCAGCTATTGCTGGCTGACCGACAGCTCAGAGTAAAGACCTCTGAGAGCGAGAAGAGGCGCGTCACATGCATTTTTCTCCGGGCTTTCTCGATTGGAAATATACGGGTCGGTGGATTTGTTATGACATTTCTTTTTTTTTGCAGTACAAAAAATAATTAGGGATTGCCACACTAATTTGTTCCATGTCTATCTTTAAAATGCCACAAAGAAATTTCGTACTTAGGAAGACACTCAAAATAATTTTGAATAGGTCTACTCACAGCGTTTGTTTTTCTTCATTTAGATTAGCCTTAGATATCACTGTGCAAACTCATTACTGTGCCGCTTCCCTTTATGCCAAAGCACAAACGGGGAGAGTCTATTAAGCATTGGGTTACAAAAACGAAGAAGCAGCAGCAAGATGCTCGCGGCGATGGAAGCTAACCTCCGCTTCCATTTCTTCCCCTTACCTTATTTCCATGTTGACGGTGTCGTAGGCCTCCTCCACTTTCTTCAGATTGGTGGCCTCCCACTCTGCAGCGAGACGAAACAAAAGGTTGCACAAATTAACGCTGTCGAGCTGTTGCATCTCAACAGCTGCCGAACAGTGGGCACTAAGAATAGGCTGTTATATGTCGGACTGTGCGAGGAGCGAGGTTGCGCATAAACTGCGAAATGCTATTTCCAGGTGTGGTAAATGCCGAAAGGCCCGCAGGCTTATTAGCCTCTTTACACTAACAACTGTGTTTACCGAGACGGAGATGAAAAGAGGAGGAGGTGTGAAAACAGCGAGGGCGGCCACTGTGATGGTATGTTTGTCTCTCTTTGTCACAAAAATGAAAATGAAACAAATGAAAACATAAGAACCGTAAAGCACTTTGTTTTACTGGTCACTTGTTGAATTTACATTATTGACTTCCCTTTAGCTCTTATTGGGTTTTGAACAACCCCTGAGGGAAATATTGGGCTTTTTTATGCAGCCAACTGCTCCACCGTCTTCACTAGCCGGCGGCTAGCCTAATCTTTCAGTTATTTAGTGTTGGGCCGGTAATGTGCTGCGTTTTTCTAACAGAGCCTCTTGGCGCTGCTGGAAATGTGGTTTCCTGTTTTTTTTTTTAAACCATAAAACCAAACAATGAAATGAAAGACAGTTAACACTCTGCAAAGCCGAGCGATAACTCCGAGAGAAAACTACATTCGTATTATTGTCGCCAGTTAATCAAATGGGATTAAAACAACTGGTGTAGTGCAGCCATCAACCCTTTAGAAGCCAAGAGGCAAAACATTTTCTCCAATTTGACGCGTCACGTCATCCCATCTTAAATTACACTTGAACCTCTTCAAACAACGTCCGATTGCGCCACTGATTGTCTGGCCCTCTTCTCACAAGAGGTCGAGGCAACGGCGAACGGAATTATACGCCGAGTGGACCGTGCTGACCGCGGCACCCTTCGTTGCAAGATTACACCGGCACCAAATGGCATGAAAGCGTTATTGTCTAGCGCCGATGGACACGGGGATCTACCGGGGCTTCGGGGAGTGGACGCGTCCCATCTCGCCGTGACAACAGACAGGAGAGTGCATGCGCGGGAAGCGCGTCGCAGGCCTCGACGGAATACCAAGTAGCATGTTCCACGCCCGGCGTCTCTCGGGCCTTTCCCACACAAGACGGATCATGATGCTCCGCATTGGCCAAAGGAGACGCACAGCGCGTTTGACCCCTTGCAGCCGCCCGATGGCGAGGCGGCGAAGGGGGGGGGGGAGCCGAGGAGGGAGAGGGCGTGATGGAGCAGCCAGGCGTTCAGAAGTACCCGGAGCACGGAACACAGGGCGAGTAAAGCCTCCGGAGTGGTCTCTGCACCAGTCAGGCCGACATAACCCGAGGCCCGCATACAGCGCGGGGCGACAAAAAGGACGGTTTAATGACGGCAGAGATTAGATTAATGGTCATGCGGTCAATGGATGTCATGCCATTACAATCACAGCCTGCATAAATGAACCGCTCAAGCCGGCTTTCTATGTGCTCTTGCTACGTCTTTTAAGCCCAATCAGCATAATGGGCCACTTCAACAATCACATCCCAAAAATGATTTATTTCGGTGCATAAAAACAAATGCCTTTCACTCTGCTAAAAAGTCGTCTTTCTCCACAATTAAGGGGGCATTCAATCGGAGAAGGGGCTACAAAAGGATTTAAGGTGAAGCTAAAGTGATCAGTGGATGACATTTTTTTCACTTCCAAGTGTACCGCACTTCGCTTCCCTTTCAGCACTAGACGCTGTCAAGGGTGTTTTTGAAATCACCGAGGCCGTGGCACAAAAATAGAAGACGAGGAATACGCTGCGCGCTGTGCATGCCGTCTTCAGTGGGAAATCTCCTGTGCATACATACCTCGAGCCGGAGACGCAGCGTTTCCACGCGAAAGACAAAATCAATAAGCGAGGCAAATGTTTCAGCAACGCTAAGAAAAGAAGCCCCGCCGCGTGTGTGCAGTGTCGAACAGAGCGAGGGCAACGCAGCGAGGACACATGGCGAACCTCACACGGACACCTTTAGCTGGATTACGTCGACTATCGGGCACATGTAGGAGTTCTCTTTGTGTTCTGTAAAAAAAAAAAAAAGCTCCCGTGCAAGTTCCCTTTTCACTCTCCTCCACAACCTCCTTCATTCCCCCCCTGCATCAACCCCTCTTTGCCTGCTTTGTATTTGACATAAAACTCCTCTTTTTTTTTTCAGTATGAGCTCCTCAAACCCCCCCACACCTCCCTCTCCCCTCTCTCTGCTTGTTCTGACTGCAGAGTGGGGAGGGATAAAAGAATATATAGGTTAAGGATTCCTGTAATGAAATGTTTATGGCAGGTGGTAACAACGAACAAGAGGCCTTCCCGTCAACGGGGCCGGCTGCTGCGTTAACAGACACCTGCGAGCACCAAACACGAGGGCCCAAAGGCGCTAATTACCCTATTTTATTTATTTATTTTATTTTTTACTCCAAAGAGCCTATTCAACCAAGGTAAGACGGAAACATTGTGACGTTACTCGCCAGCGAAAAACAAATGTGAGTAAATGTTTGCATTTTAATCCCAGACAGAAAGTTGTTCATAAACAAATATAGTTAATTAAACCAACAGTTAATGGAAGTCGAGACTTCCACTTCCACGTTTCTCTCGTTAGCCTACCAAATTCCACCAATGATCCTGAAACTGCAGCAGAGGCTGCTGAGAGTTGGGAAGAGGTCAATCTCACCCCCCCTGCATAATATTTGTGTTGGAGTGTCTGATTGTATTAAGGTTGAGTGAATAACAGTAGCTGGCAGAAATAGCATCATGTTTTGAACTACTCGTGCAATTCGTAGCCTTGTGACTGACTCAGTTTGTGTTCGGTCTCCCACACTCTCCTTCAGCAGTCTTTTTCATCCACAATTGTTGAAGGACAAAGTGCAGCACCGCGCCACTGTAATTGCACTGAAATAAAAAAAAAGGGGTCTATTCACCACACAATCAACGTCCCCCAAAATATTCAAGTGACTTGTCAAATATAAGTGGAAAATATTTCCGCTTTACAAATGTTTAGATGCGCTAATTCTCTATTTTAGACCTTTAGAAATTGCATATTCCCATTTTTGCAACAAACAACAGCTGGCTAGCTTTGCCCTGAGGAGGACGAGGTGTGGACAGAGATGACATTGTGCTTTTACGCACCATTCCTCGGAAGGAGGGACGACTTTCTAGAGGGAACAATCAGAGTCACCGCGTAAAATACATGATAAATATAAAAATTACATGATAAAAATACAAGTGCAGCGGAGTGGAATTGCTCGCGTTATTGTCGCGATGCTTAATCACTATTTAACATTTTAACAGAGGACATGGGGATGGGAGGGGGTGCACGGGCGCGGGGGGCGCAATGAACAGAATAAACAGTCTATGTGGAGTTCTCCCTGCAACAACTGGGTGCTGTTTATGAATATGTATGATGTAACAAACAGCCTTGGAGCTGACCTACTTCTGTGTCTCCTCTGCTCATGACTTGGTCCCCTTCCGGGGGAACTCTGTCATCTTGCAACGTACTGTAATAGCAGGAAGGATACGACTCCCGTGTACAAATCAACACGCTCCCTTTTGATGGTTTGGCGAGTGGTGATTTCCGTCCGCCGAGGTGGCCGAGCAGGAGAGGTGGTGGCGGCACGCCCGTTGGATCGATGCGAGAGTTCATTCCTGCTGGCCTAAATGCAGATGTTGAGGGGGGCGGGGGGGAGGGAGGGGAGGGGAACATCGATTCGCACCGGTTCTGAGGGAGTCTCGTTTAAAAATAAACAAGAGATGACTGAATATGTGCTCGTGCAGGCATGCGGAGGTGAACGCGAGGAGACGCGGGGGAACGAGGAGAATGTGTGACGGACAAGTACGTGCGTACAAAAGAGAGAACTCGAGACATAACTGGGGCTGCACACGGGAGACTACTCGTCTGCACCATCTCACGAAATGTCTTCATCCGGGATCATCTTGGTGTGGTGCCAAACACCGTTCGCTTCAGGAGCCGGGAAAGGGAAAAAAAATACATCTATTTCAGACAACATGAGACACGGAAATCTGGCAGCTGCTCAAATCAGACTTCCAAACATTTCAAAGTAAAAAAAAAGGGCTAATTTGGTGTATGCCTCGAATGGTTGCAATCCAATACATTCCTCCGGTGGCTATCGAAACCGCGCTACAAGGGCGACGGAAGGTGAGAGGCGCATCGTTTCAACCTCCTGCCAACGAGCAAATGCGCGAGCGGCTCCTTCTGCAGCGAGAGGGAAACGTGGCGCACTGTCTCTGACCCGCTCCTCCCTCGACTCTCGCCTCGCTCCATCTGTTGAACTCAAGGTGAGGGCAATTAGGTTTTTGAGGACGCGTCGCCCTCGGCTGGGGGGGTCAGAGGTGGCCGCATTAACGCAGAGTCCCTCCTGCTTAACAATTCCACATCTCATTTGGAAAGTGCTGAACGAAGCCTTTTTAAATACCATCGGGCCTCGCCAAGGCTTGCAAACCCCGCCGAGCGTCCGCCCCCCCCGCCCTCGCTCTCATCGCATGCCAGTTCATTTGTTAAGTGGCGAGACGCGTCTTCGGAGAAAAAGTCCCACGGCCGCCCCCGATGTGAGCGGCGCATGCGGGAGACTGAGATGGCGGGGATGCGATTGATGTCGAGGGCCGTAATGCCAGCCGTAGAGGACGGCACAACACAAGAACAACAGTCATGGGGAGAAACGAGGATCCGCTTTGCGCCAAAATATCCACCATCTATGAATAAGTCTACTACACATCTCTTATAGCTTAAGATGCAACCCCACTAAATCAGTTCAAAGTGCACCGCACATGCAGAGCTAATTGGTTTATCCCATTTAAAGAAGCAACATCAAGAGAAGTAGCATGACACAAATAACATCATCGGCTGCACGTCTGCAACTCGTCAAGTAGCCGCTTTCCCAGAGTTTAATTTACATCGTTATAACTTTGCTCGAACGTTTACAGGATCCAGCATTGATCCACAGCC